ATAGGATAAAACAGGGCTCTGAACTGAAAGCATCTGAATACCATTTCCAGACTAAACTAGGACAGCCCCACAAAACTGAACAGGCCAATTACCTAAAGAAATAATATTTCACTGAAGTAAATGAAAACCCCTGTGAATAAAAATTTAAACATTAACAATAAATCACAGAATCACAGAATCGTTTAGGTTGGATGGGACCTCTGGAGATCATCTAGTCCAACCTCCCTGCTCAAGCAGGGTCACCTAGAGCATATTGCCCAGGATCACATCCAGACGGGTTTTGAATATCTCCAGGGAGGGAGACTCCACTACCTCTCTGGGCAACCTGTTCCAATGCTCTGTCACCCTCACAGTGAAGAAGTTTTTTCTCAGGTTCAGATGGAACTTCCTGTGGTTCAGTTTCTGCCCATTGCCTCTTGTCCTATTGTTTCCTTTGCTCTCCCTGACTCACATGATGTTTTAGCAAACCAACAATCCATATGATGAGAAACTTCTAAAGGAGAGCAGAAAAAGGAAGAAGAGATTCAAGGTAGAGTTCCACAAATATTTTCTTGATGTTCACTCCATGATTAATGATTGCTCATTAAAAACAAAGGCAGAAAACAATGATTTTCAGGGGTTTGGGGCATGGCTTTCCTTTTGTTGGTTTTTTCGGTCAGTTTTTGAAAGCGGGATCATTTCAGTGACCGGGCATACAGCACAGCCCTGCAAATGGTCGCTTTAGTCCACCTGAGAAATTGCAACGTAAGGGTAGGAACCTATGAAGCTAAATTGTCTGGCAAATATATATGGCATGACAACGCTCAAGAGGGCAGAATATGCAAGGGGTCCTACTGATGAAGATTTGTCAAAGATCTGAAAAATTCTGATCAGATATTCCCCATGCAAAAACTTTCTGCGATTTAGGTGAACGCTAACTTGTTTAAGGAGAGACTTCTAGTCTTACTGGTAATTCACTACGAAGAAACATCGTTATCCGGTAAAATGTAGAATCTTCATCAAGAGCTCCTTTAAGCTGCTCTGGTGAAACACAGAAATGCTCCACAGCTTGAGGCCTACAGGCACAGCTTCCAGGTTAAGAAAGCCAGGGGTTCACCTGTTAAAATTGCTTTTAACATCACGGACCTGCTAGAAAAGGAATTCAGGAACCGTGTGTCAGGCTTCAATTTTTAGCAAGAATGTTAAGCAGAAAAATCATAATACACTGCTCTGTTCTGAGATTTTCTGTACCCAAAACAGGAAAGCAGTAGGACTGCAGAATTAGAGAAAACTCCCAATTAGAAGCAGACAAAAAGTTGTGCAAAATACTTTGGCTCTCCGGCCTCCTGAGTAGCTGCTACATCTACCTGTTGACTAGGAATAACACTTCTCACTTTGCAAGGGTTCAATTTAGGTGGCACTGCACAACTTAATTGTTCCACCAACTGTGCAAGACTAGAATAAAAAAGAATTTAAAAGAATTCTAAAAAAGAGCACTATGACTCTTTTTTCTTAAATGGGTTGGGGCCTTGATCTTTTTGCTTGGACCTTTTTACCTTCCCAAAAAGAGCCTGGGGGGAAAAACTTAAAGCTGGTTTCATTGTTTTATCATGGCAGTTAGAATGGTGGTCTTCACGTCATCAGTAAAGTAAATTCTGTGCGCTTCTTCCCTTCCAGAGCTCATGGAGGCAACACTCAGTGACTTCAAGCATTCACAGCCACTCTGCTCTGCACCGTGGCGGGGAAGGAACATATCCGTAGCAGAGCCATTCCACAACACAGAGGCGTTCATAGATAAGGAGCTAGGTCAACTAAGCCTGGGAGGTATAAATCTCTTCAGCCACAGGGCAACGTCACTGCCTTTCTCTTAATCCTATACCTTGTTGTGTCTTGGGCAGTAACAAAAAAGATGCCAGCTCTCCTGGCAGGACCGTTCCAGCTCTGCAGAAAGTCAGTCACTAGGTCCTTACTGAGAGAGAGGCTAGAGGAACTTCTGGCAAAAGTTCCCCCTTTCATCCTTGCCAGAATCTCCTGGAACCACTCCGTGTTGGAGGGAAGAAGCAGTGCAGAGACCTCCCTCAACAAGTAACTGAGTTTCATCTGATAGGAGCCATCAGCTCTCTTAGCCACCCCCTGAAATGAACAGGGAAGCTATCTTTAAAATAAATTATTAAAATAGGTTTTCTATGTCACTATTTGTGGGAGATGACACACATCTGGAGCTTGATCTTTCCCAATGGCTGCAAATAAAATATGGGAGTAATTACTGGGAATTACACAACAGGTCTCATAAGGACTTCCACATCTTTGAAGCCTGCATGAGAGTTCAGAAACCTCAAGGGGTTCTAGTAAAAATCAGGCTTTTACTTCTGGGTCATCACTTGTTTTTCATTATGGAGTCTTCATCTTTTATCAGCATTCTTCTATGATGAGACATCACACCTTGTATCAGAAGACTTACCTTAGGCTTACAGTAGTTTGCCTTAGCATCACCCATCTGTGCTTGATGACAATCCAAGAGCCATTTCATTCTCAATGCTGCTGCACAACTTTGTCTCAGTATATAGTCCTGATGAGAAGTTTCTCTTATAAAGTAGCAATGGTGGAGACTAAATGAAGTGCTATTCTACGTTTTTACTGAATCCAAGGAATACAGCTTTTGTTATCATATCCCAAGTTCCATGTGAGATATGTAAGCCTCTCTGATCTTACTATACATTGCCCCTCTAATAGGTTGCCTCCATTCTTCCAACTCAGAGAGATGAGCAAACCTGAGCTCAGAGAGTGATCCAAGAGCACTGTCTTATAAAAGGTGAAGTTACTTGCTTTTCCTTTACAATTCAGGCTCCTTCCAAGTCTCCTAAAAAAATATCTGGAACCCAAGAACGACTCTTCACTCTGTGATCCTATCCTATCTATCTGACATCTCCCTCCTCAAGAGACTGGGGAAAGAAGCTACTTAAGCTAGTTCTTCGATAATCCTACCTGCCTCTTTTCCTCTATGAAAGCAGCAATCCTGCCAAGGGCAGGCAGCTGCATTTGGCCTGGCTACATGTGCCTCCCTTGCCGTGCCTACAGAGGGAAGGGATGGCTGAGGTGATCCTTCCTCCTAAAATGGAAAATATTTGTCTCTCCACTGACTCAAACACCCTTTTATTCTTCAGCTTTTCATGGCCTTTTTCACTACTACTGCAAACAGCTTAGTAGGAGAACAGAGCTGGGCGGGCACAGTCTCCCTGAAAGAGAAATGCAGCCCACAGATACAGCTGGGAACTAAGCAAGAACCTGAGTGACCTGGGAAACAGAAATAAGGAATTTTCTGCAAGAAAGCTAGAGGTAGCAGGGAGGTCTGGCTGCTGAATGGGCATGAAGAAGTGGAGAGTGTTTCAGCTGGCACAGTGATCTGCTCCCGATGACTAATACACCCATGCAGACTGAAATAGCTGTAGTGAGGCAATGAACTTAAGCACAAAGAAGGTAAGGTCAGCAGCTCAGGAAACTACTGTCTTCAGAAACA